ATTATAGTTTATAATAATAATGTGCTACAATTAGTACACAAAATACTGGTACTTTAAAATTATATTTTCATTCTAACATTGTCTTAAAATTTTACATGCATATAATATAATAGGTATGATAGATGTCACAGTTTCCTTTCATGCTATGGTTTGTTTTTTTGTATAATTAATTTTAGGAAACATATGTGAGAATTGAGCGTGATCTTGTCGTGAGATTTGCAGAGCAAGCTAAAGCAGCTGGTATACCTCACTTCAGTTTATTGACCTCCTATGGATCAAACCCAAACAGTTTCTTCCTGTTCATGAAAACTAAAGGACAAGTAAGCCATCCACTTCAGTATTAGTAGCAATGCACACATTAGTTCATTCATAAGCATAACCACCAGGAGATACATGTAGTTAGGTTTGAATCCATTTACACGTACATGTATAATGTGTGCACAAAAAGTGACCAAATTAGTATTTGCCAACTCTATTGATGCAGCAACATTAGGTACTGCCAAACCCAAGGATTTAGTACATATACATGTAGTTTGGGGCTATAGCACACTCTTAATGGTGTCACATTTTTTATTTGTTGTAGGTTGAAGAAGCAGTTCGCCAACTGAACTTTTCTTATACAACAATATTGAGACTGGTCTTAATTGGCAGAGGAGAAGTCCCATCCTCACTCCCTTTACAATATTAACGAGGCAGTATACACTACCTGGATCAATACTAATGTCAAAGAGACCTCTCTTCCCTCACTGCCACCTCCCATCCTTCATCCTTCAGAATCCATTTACATGTACTTGTATGTGTGCACAAAAACTGTGTCAGAAAGTGACCAAAAATTTGCCAACTCTATTGATACAGCAACATTAGGTACTGTCAACCTCAAGCATTATACAGTTAGTATATGCATAGTGTTTGGGGCTATAGCACACTCTTAATGGTGTCAAATTTTTGATTTGTTGTAGGTTGAAGAAGCAGTTCGCCAACTGAACTTTTTTTATACAACAATATTGAGACCGGTCTTAATTGGCAGAGGAGAAGATAGGAGACTGGCTGAGAAAATTGCTGGTATGATAACACATTTATGTAACTATTATATCTGTGATTTAGTATTGGGTCATGATTTTATATACTTACATGTACTTCTAAAACTTGATTTGTATATTCTTTATGTTGTAGTATGATTTTAATAATAATGGTTTTAAAATCATGATTTCTATTGTGTCCTTGTTCTACTCTATACAGGTATATTCATTAAAGCATTGCCAGTGGAGACTCTTGCTCAAGCAATGGCTATAGATGCTTACCAGTATAAGGGAAGCTCTTCTGGAGCCACAGCAACTGATAATGTAGTCATAATGACTAATTCAGATATATACAGGACCGCTCAAGTAATACTGTATCTTAATGATACACTGTTTATAGTGTGATCTCTTCTGTA